ACGCGCTATCTGTTGGACATCAGATAATGGCTACTCTTCTGCTGACCCTCAGTAATCTCATGTTTGTGCCCACCATCGCAGTCGCTCTTTCCCATCTGTTTTTTGTGGAAGCCGCTGTCTATGTTTATACCATGTTTTTCTCCACGGTACGTTAAACACGGGTTGAAGGCACATATAGTGGCTGAAAATATTTTTAAGGACCGTTGCTAACTTGTGCTGCAGTTGCTCTGTCTGCTTTGTCACACTCCGAGCACTGTTTGGGGTTCATTGTGTCTCTGTTGTTTCAGGGAAATGTGGGGCAGCAGGAATAAACCCCAAGTTGCAGACCCTAGACCTTTTAATAATGTTCTGTAGTTCAACATCAGTTTCTTTTAGTTTTTGATACGCATACTTCACAAAGTTTTAGGCATCCCCCCCACAGGTGGCTCTTTTTAGCACTGGTGGTTTTGTCAGAATGACCATCTCAGACATAAATGTGTGCCACCAATTACTCTGCGAGGGCCATGTGTGGCTTTATATGTATAGTGTATTGGGGTATAACTTGATTTCCCTGGGTCCTCAGTCACCAGAATTAAAAAGTGGGGGGTTTATGGAACTCAAAATACAAGTACATTTAAGAGTGTCCTCCAGAGATTTGAAGAGGGGCTTCAATATTAGTGTAATTCTATTGAATGTTTGATAAGTGTAGCAATGCATTAACACAATAAAAAAAATCTATGAATCCTAAGCTCACACAATCAGTGATCATGCTATAATACCCAATCGAATTTTGGGACTGCACGTACCATTCTATCATGTACGCCCCTAATTCCCTTTTCTCATTTCAGTTCTATCACGCCTGCGACCAGCCTGGTGTGGCTGTAATGTGCATCATGGACTATGACACGTTGCAGTACTGCGATTTCTTTGGATCGGTGGTTGCCATTTGGGTAACCATACTCTGCATGGCGAGGCTGAAGACCATTCCGAAATATGTAAGGATCATGTCAACGCAGTATGGCAGATTTGTATATGGGCTCAAATGGTGCAAAGTCCATTTTAGCGTGAACATATTTAAAGAATTCTTGGTGCCAACACTCATTTATCTTGGAACAGCTTGCTGGAGTGCTTTATGTGTGTAAAATGTGTCCTCTTTATTTTATTTTACAAAAAGTGCAGATTTCTATAGAAATTTGTTACTGTGTGAGAACAAAAGAAACAGTAAGTCACTGAGTTACATATTGAACTTGCAGAGGAATGTACAGCATTCAGGTGGAATGTAGCCGAAGGTATCAGGCGTAATCAGGGTGTAACAGAAATGTAACTCAGGGGTTAGATCCTACAACTAGGGCAGTGTTTACATTACAGCCTATGGATACATCCACTGGCCACTCCTCAGATTGCTACTAGAGGTGCTTTCTGGGGCAGTGTTGCCCAGTGTGACTGACATTCAGTATCTCCACCCTCTGCATGCAGACACTGAACTTTCCTCATATAGATGCATTGATTTAATGCATCTCTATGAGGAGATGCTGATTGGCCAGTGGGGCGTTATGCCCCGGCCTGCCTACTTGTCAATCTCCGCTAATTCTTGGCTGAGATCATCAATTCTAATGATGTCAAACAAGTAGGCAGATTGTGGTTGGGGACAACCGCCGGTGCTGGAAATATGGTGAGTTTTCACCCTATCGTGTTCCCTCAAGAAAAGAACTAGGATATGAATTCCAGTTTGTAACTATTCAGTAGGACTGTGTGTTTCTGGATCCTCTGGTGTTGGAGATAAGGTGAACAAGAATGAACTAAAAATAATCAAAGACACAAATAATAAATCTCTTAAAAGGCATAGCTCGGACGTGTATCCTGCCCTGAATAGGACTTATTAAATCCAGGTATAAGTGGGATATCCATTCATTCCCTATAATTGGCTTGTATTGTATTATTAATGTGTATATATAAACTGGTCACTCTCAGCACCAATATAAAACGTTTGCTATTACATGGGCTATGGTGACCAGAAGTCCCAGGTTTCTTCTTGCGCATGGCGATTTATATTACAGGTTTGTATGGTATGTGCACACTGTGAAGGTATGCGTACAAGGTCAGACACTCAGCTGCTCAATCATCCACCATGCTGGGGGGGAATGGAACCAAGGGCTGAACTACTTATCCCTTACACCCTGCTGAGCAGGTTTTATAGGCAAAGAGTTCCCCTTCCATCAGGCACTGCACATTTTTGTCAATAGCCTTGCGGCAATCTTCTCTTTAACGTAGCTTGCACTGTGCAAAAATGTGTCTAGTATAGTGAAGCTGTCATATTGAAAACAGCTTTTTATTTATCGTATTAGCTCTAACAAATACACACAGTAATATATAACGCGTGTTAAGCCTACGTCCTATGGTTGTTTGGTCATGCCCATGGTTCCAATCAGATAAGAACATAATCAATAAACATAGACGTGGGAATGTTTCGAATTGAGTAGATAGTGAGCAGGTCTAAAGATCTCCCCCTACACGCCGCAAAGAGAACTATGCATTCACGTTTTCAAATCTGGCTTGTCTCACCTTATGTTTTTTTTTTTTAGGTCCTGTTTCTGCTGGGAACATTATTTATTGCGATGTCCATGCAGCTAAACCGAAGTGGAATATGGAATATGATGGGACCCTGTCTTTTTGCATTTATTGTGCTAGTGATTGCTTGGGTAAGAAAATTAAGATTTATGTTTATAGATCATTTTTATTTATTTTATTTTGTTTTACCTTTCTCTTCTGTTTTGTCCCCGTCCAACTACTAAACGCTACTAGGTTGTGGTACTGTGGTGTACAGAGAATACTAAAATTAGAAGACTATATAGAAATAGTTTAATTTAAATGATTTTACCATAGGAGTGTGCTTTAAAGGAACTCTCCATGTGAATTCATTTTATTGAAGTGGTTAGAGTTCTACAGTATTATTCTTTTCTCATAAAATAAGTTGTTAAAATAAAGCTTATAATTCCAACAAACCCTGTCAGTCAGGTAGCTTCAAGTCCCTCTAACTCACCAGTGACATACCAACTCGCGGTTGGATCTATCAGGTCCACTTTAAATCCCTGTTTTTTGAAAAAAAAAAAATATATATTTATCGTAGCGCCATAATCACTGCACTATAAAAAAATACTTTTATGTGAAGTGCACTTTCTTGGAAAAAATCTTTAAAAAAAAAAAAAAAAGAATTAGAACATGTTGTGGAAAATCTCTAATTTTCTTTAATTTTTCTTTAATACATAGTGTCCCATAACATGTTCCAATAGAATGCTTAACATCTGCACCTAATAGTGACTTCCGTACCGTGCACTGGGCTTTGGCCAACTAATGACTGCGGTGGTGGCTAGATAATTGGATTAAAGTCTAAGTCAAAAAATGTACAGTTAAACACAAGAACATAAATATGGAGAAGGTGTGGAGCAAGCATTTGGTTGTTCACTGAATTTACTATCCTCCCAGATTGGTTTGAAAACCTGTGATCCCCAGCCCATCCGAAACCATCTGATTGGCCCAGATAGTTCAGAAAGGGATTTCTAAACATTCCCCAGAATATTAAACCTTTATTATTTTTGGGTTTTGATACATATCCTAATCCCTATTGTCTGTTTGTTCTCACTATATAGTGCACGGATTCTTATCGAATGCTGTTTCATAGGATTTCAATTCTCTGTAACACACCTCCCCTTAATCAGGCCCCAGGCAATGCACCACAAGCAGTCATTTTTATGTGTCACGTTCCAAGTGCAGATCACTTTGACACTAGGAAAGATATAGTTAAAGTTCTGTGCAGAATTTGACTATAAATCCGTTGTTAAATGAGTCACAGACCTACTTTTAAAATTAAATAGGTAACCAATCGTCACATGTACATAGATTCTTTGTATACAGACTGAATCACTGTCAGAAAAGATGGAAAACCACTAGTGTAGTATATTTATGATAACTTTTTTTTTATTTTGGTAGGGGGCGAAGAAAATAAAGTAAACATTGTATATGGTGTCACTTGGACGTAAATAGGCATTTAATTATATTTGCCAAACAAATGGAGAGATTTGGGAATCACTGGTTATTCATTGCTTAATACTTTACACCACACACAGAGTAGCGGTGATGATTGATTGGCTGAGAGCGTAGGCTGCAGACTCTCGGCCAATCACTGATATGAATTGTTTTGGTACAAGGATAACTCTGCCTCCTACAAAATCGTGATTGGAGGCTGGCTTTAGGCTGCCGAGAATCTTCACTAATGGTGAGTAAACGGTTTTGTAATGAGGTTAAATCTGACACCCATGAACTCCATCCACCACAACCACTTCAATCCATTAAAGTGGTTATGCTGCCTACGGTGCTTCTTTAAATTATACAAAATCCACCAAAAGAAAATAGGCTGAAAATACACAGTTCTGATCTTTCTAGGCTACTTACAATCACCTATCTCAAGTGATAAATATGGGGACTTGCACCGTATAGCCATAGTGTGATGTATCAGTAATTTTAATTTGAGATAAATGATGCCACTGGCTGCATTATGTCCAGCTACTCCAGGAGGGTCTCTATTCATTTATTTGCTTCTCGGGACATGTTTCATGGGTAATGTGTGTGTTTATCTCCCATGTAAGAAGCAAGGCATCAATTTAATATTATTGAGTAAGCTTTTCAAATGATTAAATATTTTTGGATAAACATTTAAAATGTAGTTTAATACTTTATTTTTTTAAATACATTTGTAGAATTTTATGTTTTCAAATAAAAACTTTTTTCTTTTTTTTTTTTTAAAGGTTTATCCAAATATATAAGATTTGCCAAGCTTATCCCAAAATTGTAAATTAAGTTAGAACCTGCCATTATTGAGACACATGATGTGTAATGTTTTTAAAGATTTGATATGAAAGTCCTTTTCAGATATTGCACAATATGTATTGTGTACGTTCTTCTGTAGATATGTTTACAATGAATTCCAAATGTTCCTGAATACAAATGTCAACGTAATTTATTTTCTTACTTTCAGACTTACCGAGGAGTGAGACGTCGCCATTGCTACCCCCCAAGCTGGCGCCGTTGGGTGTTTTTTCTCATCCCTGGCATTTCACTGGCATTGATTGCGATCTCGATCTATGTCTTTGCAGAGACGCAGACTAATTATTTTTACACTCACAGCATGTGGCACATTTTAGTAGCAGGTAGTGTGGCATTCCTCCTTCCTCCACGTGAGAAGAAGAAGAAATCTTGGAGGTGGAGGGACATGGTGAACTGCCGGTACAAGATCTGTAAAGATGATCGAGAGGAACTGTATGTGGTCACATGAACCAGTGGAACCTCAATAACGGATCCCATATAGGTGGGATTCCTCTAGAACAGGGAGAAGACTTTAAAGCTGGCTTATACTCTAAAATCACTATTTTTAATTATTTTAATGTTTTGTAATGTGAATAGAAAACTTATAAGGTGCACACGGTTTATCTACTCCAGGAAGATAAGCATGGATCCTAACTATGAAGCTGTATGTTTTTTATTGTTTACCTCCATGAGGGATAGGAAATGCAAACTACCTGTCTGAGAACTACTGTGGTCAACAAACTACTGGTGCTCCAAGATATTCTGAAATTCATGTCAACATTCTGCCATCTTCAGGGCATTTTGAAGAATGCAGGTCTCAAGCTTATAGCATGCAAATACTATAGCAACTATGTTTTTTTAGAACCCAAAATATATGTGTATATATATTCTTACTTTAATAAGTAATTGCAGTTATCCATGCCTTAAAAATGCATCAAAACAAGATTCTTGAGAAAAGTGTGACCCACTTTCTCCACCATACTTAGGGGTGTATAGCTTTATTAGAGTGTGTTGTAGGACTTGGTTATATCAGAATGTTACAGTAAGGTGGAGAATAGAGACATGGTTTACATTCCCCACTATATCTAGAAGACAGCTCCTTTTGACTTGAATGCACCAAAGCCAAAATAGTTCCATTATTAGATTGTTTCATGCTGTCATATTTTAGGACATTAAGTAGCTTTATTGTAAGAAGTCATTTGATATGGCTAGTTTTCAGGCATGCATGTGAGATATAAACAGCTGCGTTTACAGCTTGTTAGAGTGTAGTGTTTGTGGAATGCCTGAGTGTCTTGTAGTGTGTGTGGTGAGCAGCTTTTGTGGAATGCCTGAAGAAGGCTTGCAGTGTTTGTGGTAGCTTAGGGGGAGGCGACCGTTCTTTCGATATACGTGGGTGGTGGAATACTTGCAAAATGCCTGGGTGGTTTGAGGTGCTTGTGGGATGGCTGGGTGGTGTGAAGCGTTTCGCAGGGTGCCTGGTTGGCGTGTGTTTTTATGGATGGCCTGACCTGTATGTTTACTAAAACACTTATCTTGTACTCGGCACCTGACCCCTTTATAGTGGTAGATTGCATAAAAACAGAAAAGGTAAACCCAAATAGCTCATCCGTGATCACATCATAAAGCAGTATATGATGCTGACTACCAGCGTGTGTTGTCTGGTTGAGGGATTTGTAGGGATTTATATTTTTTGCGGAGGCTCTGTGCCGAGTGGAAACTCCACCCAGGGACTGGCTGAATAGGTGTGAGGGATTTAAATTAATGAGCCTTTCACACTGGGCGTTTCCACATTTTACACAGGATTTCATTTGCGTTTGTTGCATTATCACAAAATGTCTTCATAAATCAGAGCCAAAGATTAGAAGAACTACTTTGCAGCAATGATGTGGAATGAGTGTTTCCTTCCTTAGAACTTAGTTTTTAATTCAGTCTACTGTGAATGCTTGTTTAATCACTGTCATTATGCAGTCCTAACCAATACAGGCTGGTTTTATTTTTCAATTTTCGTTTTTTTCCTTATATGTTAAATGAACCAAAAATCCGATTTGAATGCCATTTACGATGTTGTGGTCCCTTTTTTATATGCAGTCTTCCTAATAGCATCCAAAATATTTATGTTGATGCACACAGCACTTTCTACTACGATTTTGTTCCTTTAAATCAAAGTTACTGTATTCAGCTTCATGCAGGGTAAAATTGCTACAGAAAATACATTTCATATGTCTGTAGATGTACAAATTAATTTCCCTTTTTTCAATTTTTTTTTTTTTTTTTTTAATTTAGTCTCTAGAATGATCCGAAAGCTGAAGTCTAAATTTTATGCAGAAATAACGGTCTCTTCACAAGATATGCATTGTCTTAAATTGTATAAATAGTGGTTTGGTTATCTAATATTTTAAAGTTGCTGATTAGATCCTTCTGTGATTGGATGGTTCCCGGTGGAATTGTTAAAACGAGTCCACTTGTGTTTGGAAGGCACAAAGAAGATTGTTGAGTGGAATGAGGAGATTTGATCACCAATTATAAGAATCTGTAGGGGTTATATGTAGCGATCTATACTCATGCGAAATTGGAAAAGTGGAGTGGTTGCAATGGGAACCAGTGGAATTGTCTTGCCTATTTCTCTTCTTTTAGAAAGCTGCCCCAGAATTGTTCTTTTTTCCACAAACCTTTTATGAATTTTAAGATGATTAAATGTATATCACAATAACTTCCCCTCATCTGTCATTACCTGAAACCCATGTGCATTTCTCTTACTGAGCGAACATTAAAAAGAATGTGTTGCCATCTGATCGCTCTTGCTTCTTGCCCATGGTGTGCGCGAATGCATACCCTTAAAGCAAGCAACTACATACAGCCGAAAGAGAAATCCAAATACATGGATACGTTGCTCATGTTCCTCCCAGGATATTAAGTCCCTTTGTCTTGTGTGAAATGCGACAGGCGCAAAGCCCAAACTATGTTTTTCTTCACAAGTGCATGTTGAGAGAATGTTTGATACTTTTCTTTGTTAATAACCTCATTACACTAAACATTTATTTACGTATTTATTTTGATCACATAAAAAAAAATATTCTAGAGCTTAAAGGTTCACCAAAACTCTGTGGACTGTAATCCATATATGTATATATGCTTGTATTTATTTGACATTGTTGTTTTTGTAAAATGATGAACAGTGTATATTTTCATTTTATTTTATTTTTTTATTTTGTTTTTGGAGCAATGTGTCAGCCAGTCTTTAGATGAATTTTAGATATTTCTCTAAACCAAGTAGCTGCCTTGTATGTCAAACAAAAAAAAAAATATCCAGCAGGGCTTCTGTTTGCCATCTGCACTCACCTGAGGATATAGAACAGAATTTGTAACTCGGGGTACTTTAAAAAGGCTCAGAGTCATTGCCGATAAGTAATTTGAAGATATTGGTGTCATGTTTTTTTAAAGAGCAGTGCTGGGTCTAAAAGAGAAGTAATTACCTTAAACACCAGTGGAATGTTCATGTTGACTGTTCCATGTTCAGAACTTTGCCTTGGATTCGATCATTTTAGATGACCACGTCTCTACAGAAAAGCAACTCTGTCTTGAGAGGAAATGATGTAGAGAATACACTCCTTTAGAATATTGGTAGGGTTATTGAATGTGCCATAAGATGTACATTAATTTAAAGAAACACTCTAAACACCATAGTCACTAGGGCGTGCTGTCGTAGTTATGGTGCCTGGAGTGCTCTGTGTAAGTAGTCAAACCGTTTTAATACTATTTAACTTCTTACCTGGGGTCTACTGTTCCCTGCCTCCACTACCTCAGCCAGAGAGCCAAAAGCTCGCACTGACTCAGATAATGCTCTTAGCCAATGAGTTAGTCCTGCATGGTTTAGCTACAGAGAGCTAATGGAAGCTTCTAGCTCTCTGTCTGAAAGGAGTGCTAGACCAAACCCAGGTAAGAACTCAAACTTTTCTAAAATAGTTGGACTACTGACAGTGGAGGATGGCGCACCCTCCTGCCACCTTAACCACTATAGCACGTGGTAATGGTACTTGGAGAGTCAGGGTTTCTCAAGTGCCGTTTTGGGGGTGTTTTTGTTTGCTTTTTCTTCATTGTCCATCCTGGAACCGAATGGTATCATTCCAAAATATTGCACATTTTGGAAGTTCCTGAGGAGCTCCGATTTAGTGGATTTTAATGATATTAAATTTCCAGTTTGTAACATTTTCCCAATTGTTCCTCAGTTTCTTCATCTTTTGCACATAAAGACTCAGGTGTTCATTACATGTAAATGAGTATATGATATTTTTTCAGGATGGGATCTATAGCTGCTCTATTTTAAGTGTACAGATACCATAGATGCAATTCAATCAATTTGTCAATCAACAGAAAATATTTTTGTAATTTATGTTAATAGCGCCATTTGTTTTATAGCATGTTGGCAATTACATTTGGGTGCCTGTGTTTTGTTAGTTTGAACTGAAAAGGATTTAGTTTTACTAATAAAGAGTCTTCTTTAATCTGACTGGTCTTATAATTTATTTGAGACATCACACACACACACACACACTCTCACACACACTGCACGCACACTCACACACACACTCTCACACACTCTCACACACTCTCACACACTCTCACACACATTCACACTCACACACTCTCACACACTCACACACATTCACACTCACACACACAAACAAGAGGGCTGCACTCAGCTAAACATGCATACATTATAACATGCTCGGGCCAATTAATGACTCCTACAAGATCCAGCGCACTCACTAATGATGATCATACATTGTGTGTGTAAATATATATAATATGGAATTGGGGGCACACCTGGAACATACATTTCATAGTAGTGGCGCTCTTGTCAAGTCCAAAATATAAACAAAATACAGATTAAGGAACAGCACACACACAAAAAACAAAATCGTTTTAAATGTTACAAGGCTACGTACAATCCCCCTATCTTGGCAAACAAATATGGGGATTCAGTTCCACCATATGGCTATATCATGATAAGCCCATCACTATGTCACCGTACCCCAATATCGGTGGGTACTCATAATTAAAAGTGAATTTTAAATTTAAGGCCAGAGTAGCCAACTGTCAGCAGAATTCTCAAGTCAACAATGCTGGTTTGACTTTACATTTGAAATCCACTTTAGTGAATACGACTGATAGTCTTAACTATTAGTAAATGAATCCAGCTGTAAAATAATGTCTGATATTAGTGTATGTGTATACACAGGGCAGTTGGATGGCCTTTTCTATTGCTGATGTCCTCCTACCATCAGCCATCGTTTTGGCAATATGCTGATATCACAAAACTGAGCATATATGTATCAAATAAATATTTTATATCCATACTTTTCACTTATGATCCGAATATGTTTCCTTTACATATTCTCGCTCATATATTTCTACATCTAACTGCTTACTATGGCTAATATAAATTGGTTTATAAAGCTACAGTATACGCCATAACGCTACAGATGGCAGACAGATTACCAATTAACCAATGTACCTTTAACACTTGGAAACAGAGGGTGGGCTGAATTCATAATCCAATAATGTTTATAGCGTGTTGCAAATAAACACTGAGTAATCCATGTTTTAATATGTACACCAGCGCAACTAGTGGGCTTTAAACATTTGACGAGGGACATTTTTGCCAAAAATAGCAGAGTTGGACGGTTTTTAAAGTTAGACTATTATAACCTAGAATTAGCGTTTTTCTATAATTCACAGTTTGGACAATACTGGATTTTGCTTAGTAATTTCTAAGCTTACTGAAATTAATATTTAGTTTCTGAAATGCATTACAGGTTAGAGAAATACAATAGAGTCTAAATACAAATCTGTAGGTTTGTGCATCGATCACATTAAATGATCAGCTGTTAACCTGTCATTTAAATATTGGCCAGGTTTGATTAATGGGTGACATTGATGATTGATGGTGAGTGATTTACCTTATTAAGGGCAGTTTCTAGGCACCATTTGTGATGTTCCTGGTCTGTATGTCTATTGCATGATATATTTCTTAATAATCGTGTGTGTTTTTTGTTCTCATTTGACTGTTAAAACATGCATTTCCTAAATGCAGAACTGGTGCCATGTAAGCAACATCGTTGTACATTCACAGATTATAGAATCTTCAAATTATTCCAAACTGAGCCAGTTCATGAAGCTCCAAGTGGCTGAATGCTTCCCAGGGGCAAATAACGGTGATATCTGGAAGGAAAGATAGAGGCTTGTAAGACAGTGCAGTCTGTACCAAACCCTAAAATAATATTTCAATTCATAGGAAATCAAAGCTGGGTTCTGAGATGCTGCCTGGTACTTACAGAAGACATTATTAATACAGTATCCTACTTGTGAAATGCCAACGTCTACGTTTTGTATCTTACTATGATGATACTTGCATAATAAGTTAAATGTGCTGATAACAAATAAATTGACTGTGAATGCAAAACAAGAACTGCCACGCACTTGACCGGACGTTTGTCCTTTGTATTGTTATAGACATCAGATGGTCAGATTGCTCAGATTAAATATTCTGGACAGGGAGAAGTTAATATGCTTTTAATTTTATTAGTCATGTAAATCGGGATTATATTTTCCTTGACATCATGTTCTAATGTCCCTAATCCTTATTTCCCTGTCCATAGTGAGGTATATAGGAAAGTTAAGAAGCTTATTTTTTTTTTTGAAAAAAAAATCCTCTTAAGTGCTGTGCATTTTCTCAGCCATGAGTGAAACAATTGGACATCCAAAAAAGCCTTTCTAGCTCTCTACGTATTTTATTGCATTTTTATTTATTAATTTTGCTGATTTTTAAAGTAAATCTGTCACCTTTGATTTGTTTAGTATTGCCAGCACAGATTGGCTATATGATATTATTTAAAAAAAATAGATTAGATGTGTTATTTTATTGCAACCTAGTGACCGTTTTTTCCTGCAAATCCAGCATTAAAAACAAAAATCTTTAATTTCCTAAGTATACTCTCGTTTTATCCAAAGCCGGGTCCATCAGACCAATGTAGAGGTTGGAAAAAATGAATAATGAAATCAGTGATACTAGGATTTCGGAAGGTGGCATATTTGCCTTAAACAGATTCCAGTAGTTATACTTAAATAATTATTTTATATATTAAAAAGAGGGCACCTACCTGTGCCAAGTCCGTCCATTCCAGGGATATCGTCTCCAAAACTATTTTAGACCGAGAAAACAAATAAGATAAATATTAACTGTGTGTGTGTATATATATATATATATATATATATATATATATATATATATATATATGTTTGTAAATTTTCCATGATACTTAGCCAGGCTTAAGCCTTTATGTTGGATGAACATCATCAGAAATAGAATTTACATTTGGGCAAAACGGAAGAGTTTACCTTTGTACTATTTACTTATATATGCTTTGAATAGTAGTTCTGTCTGCAGAAAACATATTTAGAAGAGTAATAGGATGGGAACTGTCTCTTGCAGGTTCATTAACTGCTACCTAACTGATACTACTCGACATCTGGTAGATTTCGTGGGCCAACTGGGATCCCATTGCATTACCTTTGTAGAAGAAAGCTTTGTGGAACCAGATAGAATTTTATATAGTTTGAGAAAATAAAATTTTAGCTAGAATTCTGTATACATACCCTATTACTCCTCTCTTGGGTGGTTTGCTTTTGAATTGTTTTGATTGCCTTTGCTTGAATTTTGGAGCTCTCCGTGGAGTCAAACCATGTTTGACAGTAGATATGTCTTCCTGCGGTGCCAACTCCTGTTTTGTCTCTATTACATCAACGTGTTGTGTGTCTTTCTCTACTTTGTTTTCCTTTTTTTTTTCATCAAGCTCTACCTTTACCGGTGCAGCCTTTTTTACTGGCGCAGCCTCTTCCACCGGTTTGGCCTCTTCCACCTTTGCTGCCTCCTCCACTTCCACCTTCTTAGTTTGGTGTTCCTCAGCATCTGTATCTGTCACTGTTATAGCTGTTGGGATTACCGGTGGGGCAGGTTCTGTTTTTTCTTCAGGTGTGAATGTTTTAATCCTGTAAAGGGAAAAAAAAACTATAAGCATTGGGAGAAGTGTGTTTCTAAAATAAATTAATACAATCCTGATACATGGCTCCAATGCCCCTTTGAATATACAATTGTGTGGTATGCACATATTAATGTCTTTTTGCTTTCAGGTATTTACAAGGAGTTCAATATTAAACAGAGAGAGTGGCTGGAATGGAAGAGGATTCCTTATTAAAGGACCACTCTAGGCACCCAGACCACTTCAGCTTAATGAAGTGGTCTGGGTGCCAGGTCCTTCTAGGATTAACCCTTTCTTCTATAAACATAGCAGTTTCAGAGAAACTGCTATGTTTATAAATGGGTTAATCCAGCCTCCAAATCCTCTAGTGGCTGTCTCATTGACAGCCGCTAGAGGTGCTTGCGTGATTCTCACTGTGAAAATCACAGTGAGATGACGCAAGCGTCCATAGGAAAGCATTGTAAATGCTTTCCTATGAGACCGGCTGAATGCGCGTGCAGCTCCTGCCGAAAGGGAGGAGGAGGAGAGCTCCCCGCTTGGCACTGGAAAAAAAGGTAAGTTTTAACCCCTTCCTCTCCCCAGAGCCGGGCGGGAGGGGGACCCTGAGGGAGGGGGCACCCTCAGGGCACTATAGTGCCAGGAAAACGAGTATATGTCCAGCCTGGTCCCCACTGGAACCCAAGAAAGCCACCCTCACTGCTAGATATACACAGAAATGCAGAATAACCCTCCCCTCATACAAATAATACGAACAGCCCACACACAAACACAATACACAATCTGCACAAACTCAACACCACTGACAATCCACATACATGCGCAAAACCCCACATGCAATACCCCAAACAGCCCCACACATACACAATACGCAATCTGCACAAACTCAACACCACTGACAATCTCCATACATGCACAAAACCCCACATGCAATACCCCAAACAGCCCCACACATACACACACACTACCAAACACACAATGTGACATATCCATCCACACACACAATTCCACCCACATTCATAGGTATCATACACAATACCACAAACTACTTAGGAAAATATACAATATAATAGCTCATATACACACAAATACAATGATACAAAGAAATTACAGTATAAATAACACAAGCAAAATATGGCTACATGTATGTATACGGCAACATGTATTTTAAAAAAAAAATAGGACCAGAACGCTACAGGTTGCCTACCCCTGCTTTGCAAGGTTATTTACTAACGTGAGAATTATTTTTTAAGTGAATTTCAAATTAAAATAATCAAATTGTAAAAATCAGCTATGCTGGCAGCTCGGCTACTCTGGACAAAAATGTAAAAGTCCCTTTGAATTCTCAGGTTGGTAAATAACCCTGTTGGTTTAACCCCTTAAGGACCAAACTTCTGGAATAAAAGGGAATCATGACATGTCACACATGTCATGTGTCCTTAAGGGGTTAAACCGTTAAACACTAGATAATGAAGAAGTAAGAGTCAGTAGACACTTATCGATGTTTCCTCTTGAATGGTTCATGCTTCCTGACTGGTTTTCCATCGGCTCTTGTCCTGGGACCTCCATCTAAATCATCGTTCATCTGCAGTGCAAAGGACATAATGATGGCCGTTAGTAACTGGTAGAGTGAGAAAAGGAAATTGTAACAGAGCATTTAATTAGTGCCTGAAAATGGACTAAAAACATTTCTAAAGAATAAAAATGAATCGTTAAACACAGGATAAAGTGTTATACATGTGACCATTCTATTAGGTGGCCACTGGTATTATGTAAATCTTGCCCCAAATTCTCTTTTCTGAAATGGAATGGGTTCACGAAAGTAACACTGTTTTTATGAAACAAAAGCAGCAAAGCTATCACTCTAGTTGTTATAGAGCCTTTTCTTCAGAGGTAAGTGGACATTACTTAATAATAATAATCATTCAAAAAGGTGCTTAGCTGTTAAATTTCGCAATCCACAACAGAGGGTTTTAACATTATTTTTGACAGGGATCCAAACTCTGCTGATGGGTTTAGCTTTAATACTAATTAATCAATCATCAAATTCTCATACAATCTTCAATTGTAATACAATTTATAACACAGTTAATTATGGGAAATGTCTTCAATAGTATCTACCCAGTGTTAGAGGGGTCTCCATTGCACTGGGTGAAGGCAGGGTTTCTACAGTATCCAAGTTATAGTGGCCAGTTCCAAGAGAGTCTGATGAACATAAAGTGTATTTTTCAAATATTTGGGATTCAATAAAATTTCATTTTTCTTCCTGCTTTCTCTCACTGTCGCTTTAACCATTGTAGTCTTACATTATCCTTGGTCTTGTCTTTTCTAACCCCGTTGCTACTCAAACTAATTTTGCATACAACCTTTTGTCAACACCATTCCCTCAATGAACAGGACTCTCTCTCTCAATTTCTCTTGTCTTGTTTCTTCTGTAATTTCTATAAATGTCCTCTGAAGCGATGTCAACACATGTCCATTCTACCCATTGAGCTGGCTAAGATTTGTAGATATCCCTAGCAGTAACCATGTATCTCAAATGAAGAGAACCTAAAGACTTCACCTGCTATAAAGCAAGGACTGTATGCAATTCTAACTTAAAGAAAGATTTGACGGACTCTGTACCAAATCCTCTGCTTTTCTTTACATCTTTGAATTTCCTTTTAACACCCCCACAGAGTCAGAGAGTAATATAGCAAGACCAGATTTAGATGTGTGTGATGTTATTTACCACTGTTAAAATGAACACATGTAAAAGTATACTTTTGGGGTCAAAATCTTGTTTGATGACTGAATAAATCATCTTATTTTCCATTGGTAGAAAGCGGTTTTAGTATAAACGACGTGGACTGGGAGTAAGGATTACTGAAGCCGGAAAAGATGGGATATTTTTTGCACCTTTTGACTATTGGCTGCCTGGTTTTTAGAGCACTGGCATGTACCTACCTGATCTTCCACTTTCATGGAACTTGCTCATGCCTCCAGGAGAAGTATTTAGTTTCCATGTCTCTTTATGGCAATTGACAACCTAAATAATGATGCGACTTATAAACATCTCTGGTGTAGGTTCCTTAACTGGGCATGAAGATAAAATACTGAAAAATCACAGGAGCTGAAAGGGTCTGGGACATTACAGCACATCCATTTCTGAGTTGTTAAATAAGTTCCTGAAAGATTAACTATAAACTTAAAGTATAACCTCTTTCTCCAATGCCAAACTCCGAGAGCCAATGATAGACATTTACACTTTATCTCCAAATCCTAACCCTAACTCCCAGAGCCAATGACTGACCTTTCCCATTCATCTCCAATTCCTAATGTTAGTTCGTGATCCTAGCGACTAACCTTTACCCTCTATCTCCAATTCCTAACCCTAACTCCTATCCCCAATGACTGACATTTACACTCTGTCACCAGGAACTTATCACTGTTTCTGAGCCCTACAGAGTTTGTTAAAAGCAAAGATATGAAACCATACAAAATAAGCAGTAAATTAGAAACAGGTTCTACGTACAATTCTACGTACAATAGATGGATGATGGTCTGAATTGTAAACATATAGTGTAGTCTGTAGGGGCCAGAGGGATCTGGGTGAGGTTTATGCCTCTGCTACGTCATATTCAGGAGATCTTTGGAAATCGCTCTTTGTTTACATTGTCTGGTAAGGGTAGAATAATGCGGTCAAAATGAACGTGTTACTTGTTGAAGATCAGATACTTGGGATTCTTCCCCTGCTGATACCAAGATCTATGTCATTACATGCTGCAAAAGAACCCATGTCCAAGTATAAGTGATCTTCAAACGCTGCCAAGTCATTAATCTCTACAAACACATACGCTCTCTCTCTCACAGGTTTAAAAAAAAATTAGGGAATTACTGCGATGGATGGTCTTACTGAATCCTATGGATAAAAACTCATCAGAAGGTCACTTTGGTTTGAGGTTTTATTGAAGACATCTCAAACGATAAGTGATGTGCTTAACGTCAATTCTAACTGGTGGTACCTATCGTTAGAGATGGGCATGAGTTGACTGTGGCAATGTTGACAATGACTTTGGAAACCTGTTGGTATATTTAGCCAGAAATATCTACTAGCTGTTGATATTGATTGTTTTGCTTCTCTTTACAGGCAAGCATGGCCTGGTTATGATGCCTATTTCAGGGTCGATCTCAGAAGAAGCCTTTAGAGTACTGTTAGTGAGCTCAACACATGATGTGCCATAATATTATTGTGCTAAAATGTTGCAGTGAACACAGATCTCAGCACTTGGTTGGTGCAGAAACCAGCAGTAGACATGTAGAGGAAGAAAAAATATAACAGGAATGGTCTGGATGCAGATAATATTAAAGTAGGAAGGACAGAAGTAAATCCAGAATACTGAGCTGTGGAGGAATCATATGAAGTGTTGAAATGGGTGCTGGGGTTTAATAGAGGTTAGCAACATAACTGATTTAGGTCTGTGCAAAATATCTGATATTTAGGGTATAAAAAGAGTAAATATTGAGACAAAACTGGTAAGAACCTTAAAAAGAGAAAGGGTAGATGATGTGGGAATGGAAAAGGTAAGATCATTTGAGTCGCCACACTGTTAAGAGGGTCTCTACAGGTGGTCTCTTTTAACTCTTTCACACACAGATGAAGGGCATGGGAACGCTCTGCATGCCTCAAAGTCTGCTTGGAAAGTGCTTTGCATTCCCTATTTAATGTTGGATGAGCCCACTGCATCATGGGGGTCAAGTTCATTTGCATCACATGCCCTGTCTGTGCCTTTTAAAATTGCACAATCCAAACTTAAAGGGACAGTATAGCCACCAATAAGACTTTAGCTTAATGAAGCAGTTTTGGTGTATAGACCATGCCCCGGTAGCCTCACTGCTCAATCCTCTGCCGTTTAGGAGTTTAATGACTTTGTTTATGAAGCCCTAGTCACTCCTCCCTGCATGTAACTTGCACAGCCTTCCTAAATAGAACCTTGAAAGAGAGATCTAATGTTTGCACTTTATTTATTGCACAGAATAGGGATCTAGCAGGTACCACTGAAACAAATAAATAAAATACAACATAGTGTGATACTTTTATAGCCTCTCAATCGCCAGACACTTAATGGTTTCACTCACAGATTAGTTGTTTAAAGTGAGCCATCAGAGTGCCTCCCCTACAGTTATGGGGGGGTGTGACGAACTGGACCTCGTCACGGGTCCTTGGAGGGCATACTTGCCAGCCTGCTACCCTGTGACTATGGCCCCTGTGTTAAACCATATTTGAAAATACTATTTGTGCCTGTTGGAACTTGTAACAGGAACAATTCAAACTTTCAAAGGGGCACTTCAAACACCCGAACTCCCGAGGTGATTCTATGGAACTATTTTCAGCTATGGGACCTGCAGTCGGTAAAAACTATGACTTCCATAGAATTCTGAACCTCTGAACTGATCTGGGTGATTTTTGGATATGTTGGTCACCCAGATCTGGGCTATGAGGGGATGTATCTTTTATGGTGATTTTATGTGTTTTACGGTATTTGTGGGGTTTTGTAAAAATGTGTGGGTTTTTTTTGTGTTTGGAGATAATTGAGTTTAGTATAGTGCTTGACTCAATTATCTCCTAAGTAAAGAGGAAGGCTTATTGTATTGTATGTGGGAGTGTCATGCATTGTAAGTCTGTTATTATTGGTTTGTAAGTTTGTATCCCTGTCCCCAACATGTGGGCGTAGCCCTTGCATGGGGACTGTTATAAAAGGCCAGTGTGGCACCATTAAAATTCAGTCCTTCTTTACCCTCAACATAGAGCCTCGCCTCGTGTTTGTAGGGACCTGCTATGGAATCTATATCACTAGCTCTTATAAGAGCTTCACAGCTATACTCTCTTGGAGGAGAGGCCTTCCCACTGGGAGCTGGACCCAGGAGTTTGGTCCAGGGTGGAAAGGGACGGCAAGACCAGGCGGCTACAGTGCTGATGGTGTCTGGTGGAGTGCTTGGAGTCCTCGGGGAGCACTAGGAGCATTGACTGATGGAGGCACCCGGTAGGGGTGGCAGGCGGTCTGTCCCAGGGGGAATATCCCACTGCCAACATTAAGTGTCTGGCGATTGAGAGACTATAACAGTATCACACTATGTTGCATTATTTTTTTCAGTGATACCAGCTAGATTCTTATTCTGTTTGTATTTCATACTATCTTGCATGTGGGTACCATTTTGGGAGGTAACTTGAGGGAAGCAGAGTTTCCAAATGTTACGTTTATTTGGTTATTTCCACAGGTGAATAGGTGGAAGTTGTACATTGCATTTATTGCACAGTCTGTTCAATATAGAATTTCTTATCTCCTGCTTTGCTGATAGCTTGCTAGACCCTGCGGAAGCCTCCCATGCGTGATTAAAGTTCAATTTAAAGAGCAGGAGATAACAACTTTTCAAGTAAGTTACATCTGTTTAAAAATGAAACCATTGTTTTTTCACGCAGGCTCCTGCTCTGTAAATTAAACTTTAATCACATACATGGTCAAGCCAGAGCAGGAGAGACGAAATTCTAAATTAAAGACATTTGCAATAAAGGAAGTGTAAACATTAGATGACTCTTTACAGGAAGTGTTTAGGAAGGCTGTGTAAGTCACATGCAGGGAGGTGTGACTTAGGCTGCATAAACAAAGTGATTTAATGCTGAAATGTCAGAGAATTAAGCAGTGAGACTGCAGGGGCATGATCTATACACCAAAACTGCATCATTAAGCTAAAGTTGTTTTGGTGACTATAGTTGTTGGTTTGTGCATAAACCTCACTCGTGATGGTTAACCTTTAAATAGACAATTCAGCAGAGGGTGGACTCAGTCTGCAATCGATCCATTGACATGTAGTGGGCAGTGCAATGGAGCTTTCTGTACCCTGGCTTGGTACCTCCGCCAGCCAGCCACAGCTTCCTTTCTCTATTGACTCGATTCAAAGCCTTCCACCAGGATCCAAAGTTATAGACTTCATCGCAGTGTTTCACTTTTATACCCAGACATGTGCCCGTAGCTTGATGCAGGGTAATGCAGTGCCACCCAATAGCCAAACGAGATGTGGTAAAGGGTGAAAGTAGGACTGACTACACACATATTTATACCCAGAAAACTCACTTAACATACAATGGTGAGACAAACAATACATTATTTACATTGCCTGGTATCTAGAATAGCTAAACAATATACATTTAGGTCACACATTCAGGCTGGAAAAAAAGGAGATTTAATCTAAGGCAAAGAAAAGGTTTTTTTACAGTAAGAACAATAAGGATATGGAATTCTCTGCCTGAAGAGGTGGTTTTGTCAGAGTCACTACAGAGGTTTAAACTGCAATTGGATAAATACTTGCAAAAACATAACATACATGGATATAATTTCTAATTAGTGGGGTAATAGCTGCTTGATCCAAGGAGACATCTGACTGCTATTTTGGGGTCAAGAAGGATTTCTTTCCTAGTTTGTGGCAAAATTGGAAGCGCTTCAGACTAGATTTTTTGCCTTCTTTTGGATCAACAGCAAAAACATTTGTGAGGAAGGCTGAACTTGATGGACACAAGTCTCTTTTCAGCTATGTAACTATGTAACTATGTAACTATATAATATATATATATAGCAGCTAACCAAGTTAAGGGGCTAATTAGTTTGTTCACAATGACAGTACAGCACACAATACAAACAATAGCTGAACATTTATTGAATTGCTAAAATAACGTTCCCTGCCACCCCATCAAAACTAAGTCTAAAACAAACATACTTTTAA